GAGGTTTCAATTTGCACCAAATAGAGGTTCGTTGACATAGCGAGCCACCCAATTATCGCTTGGTTTTTTTGGATCGTAGCTATGCGCGTCCTCTTTCGCATGTCTTGTATGGGGAAATGGCGATGGGAAAAAAAGAAATCACTTAATGGTAATCAGAACTTTTTTTTGAGGTCTAAGGGACAGCCTTGTTTCAAAGTTGCCATATTTGAAACACTGACGACGACGCGATTTCTACAACTTCATCATATGAAGTTGCATGGGTTCAAGCTATCAGAGCAGACTGCTTTTTTGACCGAAGCTTTTAGTCTTTTTTGAAAAGGCCTACTCTGTTATCAGATTAATCGAGAACTTCGTGAACATGTGCCAAATAATCGCAAAAAATGGAGTCTGCCAAAAATCTTACATTTGCCTATGCCTTTGCCATTTGCATTTTCCATGTTGTTGAAAATTAGAAGTTTCATTGCAAATTCCTTTCTCGCTAGGATGTGAAAGATGTACCAAACTGAAAAACTGTACCAAACGCATGACAAACAAGAAAGGACAAGTTTTTTGCGTGAAAACGGGATCCTTAACTTGTTCGTCTAATTTGCTAAACATAAGATACCGCTTTCGGAAAATATGTTGTTCGGGTGATGATGAAGATTACAGAATATAGTAAAAGAATCAAAAATTAGCTAGGAGTAAAACTACTGGCAGTGTCCTTTCATCTGATACTTTAGATACCGTAGCAGTATTTTTATAAGCCAAGGAGAAACTCTTTCTGATTACTCGCTTTTGCTCAAATTCAGAAGTCCTTCATAATGCAAAGAACTTTTGGACTGAGCAAAAGCGGGTAATCAGAAAGAATTAAAAAATGCTCTTGGGTGCCTATTTAGAAATCGTTTGGTAAGTCGCCAAATAGACGATTTGCATTGAATTGAGGACTACAAAGGGTAAACTTACATGGGCAGCACAAAAATCAGTATGATCACATAATTTTCTCAGCTACTTTGTCAAACAAATCTCACTCTGAGGAGTGTCTGCTAAGAGGGCAGCTGCACGTCCATCGTGGGTGGCTGAGCATGACCTTCAGCAGGTTATCCTGCTCTCAAGAGATCACCTTACAGGGCCTCGATGCATTCCATTGATCCCGCGTTCCGAGCCCATTTACATAAGTCATCACAGTTCATTTGAAGTGTCAGCTTCGAGAGAACACGGACATGACACTTACGCGAACGAGGCGACTTATTTCAATAGTCGCAACCTGTCGCAGTTGCGATTGCGCAACCGCAGTTGCGTCATTTATCGCCCTACCGTAAGCCATTTAATCATATCATGTAGTTTGTCTGACCTATAGCACCTTGGTGTCAACGGATTAACAAGGATTAATGATGGCATGGGCTCAGGAATTTTCGGGTATCTCCACTTGAAAACTTCTGTAATCTCTTACTGAAACTTAGTTTCATTCCAAGGCTCTTATTGGCTGCAGGCTCAAAAGAGGACTTTCTGTTCAGAATCATTTTCGCTGAAAGCTACAGACCAAGTTCGAGTTATTCAGATAGTTTTCAGCAACTAGGCAATCCTTAAGACCAGAATAAAAAAACGTGAACCTGCTGAAAGTACTCCAGAATTCTTCTCTGCCTTTTCAACCCCCTTGCTGCATAGAAATGAATCGACTATTGGAGAAGCTCCATATAGTGAAGGAACAGCGTATATACTAGTCCCTGTCAAAAAACTATTCGTTAATGCTGAATTGGCGTGAAGTAAGTGTATGTACTTGCTACAGACGAATTCGCACAACAGGCTCAATTTTCAACCATAGAATTGAATGTAAAGCAACAGAAAAGTTACAATTAGACAATATGAATTTATGAAACTACAACAGGTAAGATCTTTCTAAAATTCACAAACTTGAACGGTTTGCCTGTATTCCGCTTCAAAATCTGGAATTATTGAATGACTCTTCACCGCTATGTACAGTAATGTCCTAAATGGTGTATCAATGATGCGTCCGCGATCTCAAACTCTTAGAGATTTAAGGTAATTAGCGTCTTTTGAGAGTGAAATAGTGGGAAAGAATTCTCGTATGGAAAAGATGTCAATACTGAACTTATCTACAAACTATTGATTTTTGCGGTAGAAAACTACATTCATTTGGTCTCCAGTGAACTGTTCCCGATTCTATACCGGCTTTTTTGAGAAGTTACGCTGAACTGCCTCATTCACTACAATATTCTTAACCTCTGCGTTCATATAAACCATTCGCCATTTTCTACTCGCTTTGAGAAGATTTTGTAGAATTGAATGATGGTGCACTTCCCTGTTTCCTTATTTCACCCATCGCTCTATTGAGAGTAGAGCTGACATAACTAGTGCGTTGAGTTGACGCGATTGAACGTTGACTGAATAGCTTGACCTGCTTCTAGGACCGTGTATTTGGTATGGTCAACATAGTCTAAGGCTAATATATGTCAGTAGGTTTAGCGAAGAATTTTTTCTCGTTGTCTTGTGTCAAATAAGATGATTTATGCGATCCACTTACCACAACAGGTGCACCGGAAAAGGAGACCTCAATTTATAGCGGTTATTTGGAGATTTTCAGCTTTCTAGAGCAATGGCCATAGATCATACGATTAATGTGAAAGTGAGAGCAATTACGTTCAGTTTCGCTTACCCGGACAATTTGTCGGGTTTCTTCTAACATTTCAGTATTTTAACGGTCCCTCGGCTTTCTTAGTAAGCTATCTACTCAAGAGATGAGCTACAATCATTACGCTAGGCTCTGAAAATGGACTGGGGTAATTTCAATATTGATTGTCCACATTGTTCTGCTTGCCGCTTTGTCTAAAAATCCACTTCAAAAAATTCCTACTGATGCAGCGTCTCAGATTTCGAAGGAAAAATAAATCGTACTTATCCCATCCATCCCTACTACATGGTATTCTAATTTAGAGACGAATGCGCTACAGTATCTGAAGAGGTAACCCAAAAGAGTCGGTGGTGTAAAGGGTCTAATCAGTGCTCGTTATTAGCCACCCAAAAAAGGCGCACCGCTGTAAGAGGCTTCATCTGTCGTTCGCCATCCTGTATTGCTCACTCGGTAAGAGCATAATCGACTGTAATTGACGCGTAATCACTCGAGCTGCTCGAGCCTTTGAGGCTTTTTGCGAAAGCGTCCTTGCAAGCCATCCGCGGAAAAATCCAGCGAATCTACGGTACGCACACTCAACCAGGTGCGTATCTCATTTGTCTCCAAAATACGGTTCGCCTCAGCTAAGACAAACTAAATGCCGCCTAATTTCAGCCTAGAACGCAATCGCAGTGAGTTGATTGTGCTAACGTCTCAATACGTATGTTACGGCTCCGTTGCGCATTCGCTGACAATCAAAGTGATCGTAAAAACACATGCAGTCCATACAGTCTGCTGATAGCATCAGAATTCTCCGGATGTAACCGTGTAGCTGGCACGCGTCCAAGTTGATACCGTATGCATGGGGTAACTGGTCGTAATCGTTGCATCCGTCGTTAAGCTGCTCGATCAACGCAATTATGCGTACATTGAGATATTTTATCGCTCCCATTCGTTGTATTAATTGTTGTTGATAAAACATAAATATCCAGCGTGGAATTCATCGAGAGACTGACTAGGGTTTTGCTCAAAAAGGGGTTGGCACAATGAACACTATCGGACTCAGGATTCAGCGACAAGGTAGTTCGATGACAAGTGCCACATATGAATGCATGACAGAGCTGGATCTTATGCTAGTTGAACACTACGTTGTAGGCTTTCGGATGCAAGTTATAGCGGTAGCTCTAAAAAGAATACGCTTTCTTTTATCTTCATTTTCTATGGAGCTCACGAAGAACATAATGAAGATACTATGCAAGTGCGTTATACTCAGTTCACCAAGTGCCAAACATGATGACCTTACTCCACAGACTCCAAGGAGTATAACAAGGCGAGCAAGTCAGACCAAAACTGCAATAAGTTTCATGAAAGCACCAAGGAAAGGCTGTAGTAGTGCGTACTTATGCTAGCTCAACAGTATTCGTTACATTTTGCATGGAAAGTAGCAGTTTTTACTCATGATAGGGTGGTCTCTTTGAATTCAGATTTTTGAAGAGTATTTCCAATCGAAACAATTTTTGTCGAAGCCTGAGTCTGAAATAAAAAATATTTGAATGTTTGCATATACAAATTATAGAGGGAGGGGGAATCTAACGAGGAAAGAGCGGTTGTTCGAAATGGCCTTTTCGAATGAGACGTACTTGTCTCGGAAAGCATGAAACGCTTCTTTTTGTCTTTATATATCATACCTGATGCTTTAGAAGAGTAGTTTTAAATTCTCCAGGTACTTATTTGAGCATGGATTTGAAAGTTCAGGAGAAAGTTTCGTGCTTTACATGGAAGCAGCAATATAAGACCCAAGGCATTCTCTGTGAGACTTTTGATTTTGTTCTATTCTACATCTATAAATTTTGTCATAACTGCCCAATTATTTGCATCAGAAATACAGGACATAAATTCTCGAGCAAAGCCGTTCTGCATATAAGAGGAACAACTTCCGAATTTTGCTGTCCAAACTCTCGATTTCTGTATCAAAATCACTGCAATAGAACAGTTTACAAAGTCAGATTGGCTATCATAAATATGCACGAGATGTCAGTGCAATATTTACTCGAGACCTGAACCTTGGAGAAATCTGTTTCTCACTTGTTGTTATGATAGATAAGCGATTGCGCTCAATCACCATTCACTTGGCTGAGCAATACAGTGGGAATGCAACCATAATAATTGGAACAATCAGAATGATTGGAGCGCGAAATGAGATCGATCAAAACAACTGAGGTCAGTGCACCTGATGAATGAACGAATCGGATCATTCCTCATCTCTTCCGCTTTTCACACTTGACCGTTTCCGGATAGTGGTGGAATCCTGGTGGATCCAACACGGCACCACGGCATTGCTTAATCGCCAATGTATTGCCACCATCTGCTGTTACATAACTAATGCGACAGAATGTTGACTGAGCGCTGCAACCGTCGCCGATCAGTTGACGATCGACTCATCCGTAAGCTGATCGCAAACAAACCAATCAACACCTTCGTTGACTTTTACTGCAGAGACTTCCTGTGTTTGCATATCGACTACGGTGACTAAAAATTACTGTACCTACTACACAGCCGAACGATGGGTACCAGGAAGGCAGCAGAAGATTTTTGACTGTCAAAAGGTAAGAATCGAATTCAACGTATGTTTAGTAGGGACTTGTGTAGAGAAAAAATGTATTGAGCGATGTCACTCCTTGAGTTTTTCATGTCTTCCCTTATTCTTTAGTCTTCATATATCATAAGTGATTGTAGATTCCCTTCTGCTTCAGAAGTCTCAGATTTTCCCTTTGCTATCGACTAGGAAAGAGGCATAACGAAAAGCTTCCGTAAATCAAGCCATTTGAGTAATCTTTCCATTGATACAATATCGGTCTCTGCAATATAATGGCAGTTATTTGCAGTACTCAAAGAAAATTTGTCTTGTTTCCCCGAGACTAACGAGGTTACGGCTATATCAGTGCTTAATAGTTATCCTAGTAAGACCAGGAGGACACTGCGCAAATTGTATTTTCTTGCAAACTTTGCATGTGATTGGCTCTACGTATACAAAAGGATCATAGAGTGTTGAAGAAGTGTAGCAAATAGAAGGCTGGTAGTGCTCTTTTCCCATTATAGATCTTCATCAAACTATGTACCTCACTTTGCTTAAGTTCCGTGTAGCTAATGTTCCATTGGGCTTACCTGGATGTGTGATCCCAAAGATAATCTCAGTACTCACGATCACTAGACTCACATTCCTTAGCAAATGCCTCGATGTTTTATTTGATTGTATGAATTTGTTATCCATACGCCGAGCCCTGAAGCAACGTGAAACCACGGAAATCGAACCCTCAAAATGAAATATTTGTGCATTTCTTGTAATGACAGAACATTCTGGTTTATCGTCATGTCTACAAACTCAAGGTTCTTGATCCCTAATCGTGTATGCTTGTGCTTGGTGAAAGATGATGGCGCTTTTTTGGAGTGAAAATTGAAATCAGCTGCGAGAAACTTGCAGTAGTTTGCATATCTCAGAGGTGAGAAGAATTACCTCGAAACTTTTTCCAGGTCAATGGGGCTATGGCATCCTCATCCTTCTCCTCAGTATACTGGGGATGTGGAAGCAAAAAGGTACACATTCTTGGTGAATTAGCATTAATTTTAGCAATCGCCGACATTGACGTGCATTCTTTCCCCAGTCATTCGGTGCAGTTCCGCAATCCTGGTCTGCTCAGATGGTGTCCTCATCAAGTGTTCGTCTCAGCAACGGCTTTGAAGCGTGAGCGGCTTCCTTTAGCGGATCTCGAATTGCCGTCATTGCGCAACAGCGAACGTACCTTACCGTCAGGAATCAAGTGCAGCGCCTGTGCTGAGGTCATCTTTCCCGGAAAGGCATTGCTTTTCCACTCGTCATCTCTACGTGCTCTAGCTGTTCGCGAAATCCCGCAGTCATTAGACGTTTTCGTTGGTTCACAAATTGCTGGTTACCGCAATGATCGGAACACGGTTGACCTTACATTGTTCTGGCTGAGCCGAACAAGCAAAAACGTCGACATTATCGAAGCGAGACAATTGCAGCGCCACACTGCATATGGTAAGCGCACCGCTATTCGTGCTCGGATAAATGGACGTGGGAAGCTGGGAGCTGGTTCGATTTGGACACAATTTTTTCCTAGAATGTGTCATCAGGGCGAATGAGGTCGTTGTCTTCATTGAATTGAGTGGTTTGAAAATCTCCTGCTGGGTTTGCAGTGCACATAAACGGGCGAAAATTGGTGTTCGACACACTCAGTGCAACATTTGGAATCGAAAGGATTGTTTGAGAATGTGTTTGTTGTATGGGATCCGTCGTATTCGTGTGGACATTTATTTTAAAGAGAAAATAACCTGATCGAAAATGTCCAAATTGCTTAACGGTTCAAATCCGGAGGTTAGGCTTAATTGATTTTGGCTAAAGCTAAGCAGATAAATTTAAAAAGGAACAATTGATTGCAAATACACGTAAAAGGTTATCATTGGCGAGTATGACTTTTTCAGCAAAATCCACTTATAGATCTGGAAAATACACTATCCTGAGCTTAGTTTGCTTTCCCAAACAATGTATGAATATGAACCAAAAGATGATGGAGATAATTTGAATTAAGAAGTTGCTGCGTTTACTGAGTTTGACTATTTTCAATATTTCCTGGATCTAGTTGTTATATCTTTTCATCCTTAATGAACAACATTTTATGGTCGTGTTCTGACCGACTGGAGACTCTTTGTCAGACAAATATATCAAAGCGATCTTGCACATGCTTACCTAGCTCCTGGCAAAAATCCCTGGCCGAGTGACCGCTACAACCATTTAATAGCGCATCCATCCGACTTTTTGATGCACTGCGGGTGGTGGGCTGATCTCCAAAGAAACCGCGCTGAGGTAGAACCGTAATTGCGGCTCGCGCAAGTCTTTGCATAAGAGGAAACGTAAGGACACCGCTTGCTGCTTGTGCGCGCGCAAAGCAATAGAAGTTGCAGCATAGCGTCAAAAGAACTCGCATCTGTCTCTATCAACGTTTAGCGCTGGGTAACTACACTATACCACGCTTTCCAGCGATGTATATCTTCGGTGAACTGGATGTTGATGACCCGTGGTAGCCCTTGCGGAACTAATCATCCAATACGACGGCTCTTATGTAACCTCGTTAGCGAATGAGTTTGTGAGAGTGGCACATGCGACGCAATGTTTGCTGTACTTATAAATCCGAAAAACGATACCTCTACCGTACTTAAGTGCTCAGGAGCCTGAGGATCAGCGGATAACAGGTGGTAAGCCGCGAGTGCTACTACATGCACACATAGATGGCACAGTTGGGAGAGTACGGTACAAGTGGAAATTGGTGTGATTGTTCCCATTAGCACATTAAGGAGGAACCCGCTTAAAGAAAACTGTAGTGAAATGGCATAGAGAACACTCGAATCTCAATCAAAAAAGTACAACAAAACGCTAGATTGCATCAAAAGTAGTGAGAACTTTTTATAAAATTTCAACCTGTCGGCAAATCAGATGGAATGGACAGACAAGCACTCTGAAAAGTATTTAGCCCAGCTTTTTTCCTACTTCCAGCACCTAGGTTAATGAGCCCAATTTTCTTAAAGCTGCTAAAAAAACCACAAAATTGGCGTATCCCATGCTTCACATGTAGATTATACCATGCTTCACAAGTCGATGTGTACAAGTAAATCCGAGTATTCCCAAAACAGAAAGAGAAAACATTGTGTGATGTAACTACAAATAACCTCAGGCGCAGTTGGACACTTCCCACAATTTACAAGGAATCTCCACTCTAAATTGTTCCTTGACCCAAATTTCTTTCACATATGAATATTTTGGAAATTTACCGGGCTAGCTCCTTAATTTGGTTTACTTTGTGAGCGGCACAGATTTAAACTAAAAATCTAATTAGAGCTTCGCGAAAAGTCCGTGCCCTTCGCCCTCCTTTTCGTCTTCGAGGCTCATACCCGCTCCTTGAAGGCGGGAATTCATGCTAGGACAAGCACCTGCTCTCCGCCATCACGCAATCGCCATCGATCACCATCTTCAAAATCCGGAAGTCCATCGGCTTGGGACCGAATCTGGCCGTGATTTACTTCCCCAACTCGCGCGCGAAAGTTTGTTGTTCTTCTGGGCGAGTGAGTGCGTGTCCTTGCCTTTGTTTCATATGCAAATTACGGACTTAGTTGCAGTCGGCGCCAAGTCTTTATTCATTGTGACGATGTGTCAGATTACTGTCGCTTATTCGACCGTCATTTACAACCACTTATTTGCATAGGTTTGTTGACAGTAGCCGCCATATCATTGACGGGGACAATAGTTTGAGATTGCTGAATGGCTTTACTGGTTATAAGCTTTGAAATATTGGTCTGCCATTCCAAAAAAGCTTTGACATCTTCCACAGTTGCGAATCTATGCACTGTTGCACGTCTTTTCTACCTGGATTTTTTCCATCTAGCTAGTCAGGGAGCGGTACCTTCAGACTTGAGCAAACAAGTTCCCCTGTAACCCAATGACCCTCTAACCACTTCCTTAGCGGTACGAAAAGGACTTTTGGAGTAATTCATGCTCAACTGATTTACGAATGCGGTGCCACTTTTCGGAATGCGGGATTCGCCTATCTCAAATATCGATCAGCGGTTGTAAACGAGTACGTGCTCTAACTAGGATCAAAGTCGTCCGACCTCCAAGACTGTAATTACCTTTGGCAGTTAGATCCGCCCTTCTGGTGGGTCTCTGTTTGAGATCGAGTATTGCGCTACTTTTGTAGACTTTAGTCTACTCTAGTATGCTTTTGTTGGCATGCATTCATGACAGACTCTAGCAAACCTTAGCGCCGCTGAGCTTAGTTGTGACAGGGAACTCTAGATTTAGATTAGTGCTATTGTTAGTTTCAGTTTACTATTAAAGTTTCTAGAATGATTGATGGAAATTTGTTTTTGAGTTATTTCAGTAAGAAATGATATTCATCTTCTCTAACGCAAAAGGTTTGTGAAGATGTTCTTTGGAAAGCTAGTGATCCAACAATCACCTGCGAACACCACCTTGCCAGTTTTCGCATCTTCTCTAATGAAAGGGGTATAGACACCGCTTGCCGAACCCAAAATCCAGGTGAATGAGTCACACAATCCATAGTAGTTCCAAAGCTATCGCTTACATTTCGCTATGCGAAAAAAATTAACGAAACCTCTCTCCACTTTTTACACTGTTACCACTTGTGAAACCTAACAATTGGTTGTTTTCTTATTGTTCCGCGACATACTTAATTTGCTAATTTGCCTGATGAAATAATGCGAGAAGTGAGCATCCCAGAAATTGATGATATCATCCCAATAAATTTCAGATATTCCGCGACATACTTAATTTGCTAATTTGCCTGACATATAATCCCCGCCCCCCTCGCATAGCGCTCCGCCCATCCAGTGTCATTGCGCCAATTGAATTGCACTCGGCCATGCCTTCTCACCAACCAGCTAAGCTTGTTCCGTGGAAATCGCGCAGGAACGCATGGGAATGCAAACGAGTGGATTAGGTTCGTTATGCTGTGGAAAATTGCTAATTTTTCCTATTTTCCTTCATATACCACTTGTGAAATCTGACAATTGGTTTTTTTTACTTTTCATGAGTGGTTCCATTCCCACGTCTGCCGAAGTAGCTTTTTTTCAGATATTGAATTCCAATCAAAGTACAGTTCTTCTAGGTGAACTAAGGCTTCGCTCCGCCACCGAGTTCCACGACCTTGAAACTCTGAGCAGAAGCTGTCAAAAGTGGAGACTTTGCATGATGCGACCAGACAACGAGCAATTACGAATTTCAACCTACACAACGAGTCTCCTTCCCAGCAAATAAGCAGCAGCATTAATCACCGTCACGATCTTTATTATAGTGACTCCACCTTTGGCCAACAAAACTGCTGCAAATTCACGCAAATCTTTACCTCTATAGAGAGCGCAGTTACATTGTTTTATATCGCTCTAGTAAGCTATCTTCTTCTTATGATATTCTCAGTCATTGTAATCGGGTTTTGTTTGATGTCTGGTCTTTTTTCGCGCTCCACATGAATTTATCTCACCTTGAACCTTATACATACATGTGTTTGTCTACGAGTAAAGCTTTATCGTTTACTTGACTCGTTTCACCTATGCTGTATAAAAAGCTCTTAGGGGAGGGGGATTTATTTCGGAGGCGCCAATTCGTACGAAATAGAGGTTCGTTGACATAGCGAGCCATCTAATTTTCGGCTGGTCTTTGCTTGGGGGTGGTGCAGGAGGAACCAAAGGGCTGCCGCCTGTATCCGCGGGAGATAATTAAGAGCGCGAGCGCTATGGAGAATATTTTGGCAAGAATCCAAGATAACTTGGTAAGGAAATCCCCCAGGAACAAATCTTCATAAGTTTGCCTGGAGATGACTTTGAAAAATTTTAAAAACTTGTAATGCAAATTGGAAGGCGCATCCACTGGGCTAAAAGTAAATGAAAATTTGGAATTGTAGTAGTAACAAATGTCACCTACCATATAGAAACTTTTTGTTTTGAATTTTGAAATTTCAGGTTGTTGAAGTCCGAAGTTTTCATTCAAAATTCATTCTTCTTCTTCGAGATAAAGAATTACTTTGTCTTTTGATTCAATGAAAAGAAATTAAAATGTCATAAGAACACATCTGGAGGTTGTCAAGATGCAAAATGCAGTTTGTCTCATACCTTCAAACCCATTCTAATTCCAAATTTTGACATTAGAGACTTCATGGGATTTGCCATTGAAACTATGTCGGTAATCCTTTATGTCGTACACTTTAGCAAAAGTTCATCACATGCAACTTAGTTAACATTATTTCCTTATTACCATTTCATACTTTCAACATCTTATCCAGAAATTTCACTAAAATTCAGTTGAAATTTTCACGCAACATTGAGGTTGAAGTTTCAACTTAGAACGGTGAATTTTGAAGGCACAGTTTTTGGTAAAAATCGTTGCGAGACAGATTGTTCAACTATCCGGTAAGCGTATTATTGAAAAATGCGCATTTCAATACTGATTCCAAATCTGTCCTTCGTATCCTTGAATCTTGATTCTAAGGAGAGTTATAAGGGTTTGTTTTTAATGGATGTCCTCGCCAGGTTTTCCTGGATCCTTGCCAAAATCTTCTCCACAGCGCTCGCGCTCC